ACTTCTATCAGAATTTTGTGATTTCTCTGTTGTTCTACTTTGCTTTTAAATAGTTTTATATACACATAAAGCTGTGATAAAATGCAGACAAAAAAATCACTTATAATTTATTTGTATTAATTATACATTTCTGTGCTTTGTGGGGTATCCCGAGACTGGTGATAAATTGACTTTGATACACCACTGAGTCACAGACCAGAGATTGGGAAACATGGTCATCAATATAAAGTACTTCAGCTAGATTAACCATAAAAGAGAAGCGATAAATGCTATCTAGGGAGTTTGGACAATTTTATATTCATTTTGTTCAAGTGTAGACATGACAGAGTGTGCACAGTGCATGCTAACAAGACAGCCCAGCACTAGTTCTACACTTGTTGACCAAAGACCTAGCAATGCCACCTCAACTAGGAGGGTAAGAGGAAGAGCTATTATATTTATATTTATATATCTATATAGATATCTATATCTATATAGATATTGATATCTATATAGATATAGATATATATATACAAAATTAAAATATATGGAAAAAACACTATTAAGTTCCTTTTAATGAATGATCTTACTGAACCCTAGAACAAGTTGTCTGTGTAGTAGCAAAAGAAAAGCTATGTATACTTTTTAGAAACCCCTTTTATTTTATCAGCTACTTTTTTATCATATTTTCCCCAAGAGTTCAATGGTCAAGCCTCACTTATGTAGTTTTCATGTAGTTGGGTACATCACCAGCATAGAATGTATATTGTACAGAAATCAATTTAGAAAATATGATTGTGTTTTAGGCATAGGCTTGTGCACGGGGTGTGCCTGGGCACACCCTAATCACCTCCGTGCACACATGGCCAGTGCCGTGCTGATGGCAGACGGAGCTGCTGTGATCCACAGCCTAAGAGCGCTCTCGATCATGCTGCTGCTCTGCGGTGTCTTGCTGCTCCTTAGCCCAACAGCGCAAGGCTGCGGGCCAGGCAGGGTGGTGGGCAGGTGGCGAAGTCCTGCCAAGCTCACCCTGCTCTCCTACAAGCAGTTCAGCCCCAATGTACCCGAGAACACCCTGGGGGTCAGTGGGAGATAAGAGGGAAAGATCGCCCACAAGTCAAAACGCTTTAAGGAGCTCACCGAAAACTATAATAGGTGGCAGTATGACCCAGATGAGAGGCCTGACTTTTATACAGTGCTATAGGTTGGACTCAAGCAGCAATCTACAGTAGAAGGAAGACTGCAGATACCATCAGACAGCAAAGAACTGCATAGGACGTATAGAACAGTAGAAATATAAGCAGTATATGACATACACTGCTAATATTTCTACTATTTTATATGTCCTATGCAATTCATTGCTGTCTAATGGTACCTGCAATCTGCCTTCTTCTGTAGGCTCCCATGCCAGTAATAACAGAATATTAAGAGGCTTGGCCTTGCAGAATAAATAATTTTTCTAGAAATTATAAGCACTTGGAAGGTATACCATAAATAATGTTATTTTGGGAGATAAGGAGCAAGGCTAGCTCTCTGAGCGGCACTCCTAACACATCTTTAACAGAACACGCTTGACTGTGGTGTCACTAACCCCTGCTAAAATATTATTCTGTTAAGTATCTAAATAGTACTTAGGAGGGTCAAGTAGCACTGCTAAAGTCAGCTACAGATGTTTGATGTCCATGTGTGTTAGGTCTTATTCACACGGGCATTTTTTTATGTTGCACACTACTTGTATATATATCAAATCTATATTTTAGGACAAAAATAAACTAATTTTAATACACACAAACAAAATATGAATCCCAATATTTGAACAAAATTATTCCCAATTGAGTTGAGTAAATAGATACCAAATATGTCAAGCCTCAAACTGCTTGAGCCCACAAAACGGTGAAAAATTACAGGACCCAAAATTATTAATAGGCAATGCTTTAGTTTAAATGCTTTCAGTTTACTGTAAATGAGCTAGAATTTTTCTCTCATTCTGGTGTGCGTTGTAATACTCAATATGTGTTGTGAAATTGTTGTTTATGTACATGTACAGTATGTGCTCTAAATGATTGGGGTGCTTTTAATTTTTATTTAATCCTATTTGATTTTTTTACTTTTTCTCACTTAATGTTATTGTTATCGCAAGGGTGCTAATAAGCCTCTTATATGACAGCATTGGGCAGGTGATAGGTACTGTTTATGAAGGCATCAGGGGTCTATTAGACGCCATTTGTCAACCATGCCCTCTGCTGCAGGCTGTGCTTGATCAGCTGTTTACCTATGTGGGATTTTGACAGCTCTCAACCTAGAAATACTCAGAGCTGAGCTGTAGAGGACATTGGGGAACGGATTCCCTCCAATGTCCTCCTACTCATCACCCTGACACTCCTTTTATAAAAAGAAGAAAAAGAAAAGAAGCTCATGGTGTAAGCTTGTTTTAACCACTTCAGGGCTGAATGTAGGACATTCGCCCCGAAATCCTGAAATTGATACATATCATGCTAGTGCACTGATGTTATATTGAGCACAGATGCAAGTAGATTTAATTAACCTGCTTTTTTAAAATACATTGTGATTCTTTTTTTTAAGTTTCTTAAAGGCAAGATACCAAAACAAAAAGTCACCTACCTTCTCCTTAAGAGTGGAGCCTTCCTATAAGTTATCTGTACATAAGTAGTTTCCCTGATATAGATCTGCTATCATTGGCGTCACAAAGGGGTGAGGCTTGCACCCGGGTGACACCAAAATGACTGGCAGTCATTTTGGTGTCACCCCCTCTGAAAAGTCGGGCACTCGGTCATGGACCAAGAGCCCGACACTTGCAGGACACCCGACACCCGCCGGCTGAACGTCCCCTCCTCTCTCTGCCGGCGTCCATCACTAAGATTGCCGCCAACAATATCACCAAGATGACCGCGCATGCACGATGACATCACGGCGGGGTGTCACCTGGTATCCGCTCCGGGTGACACCCGGCCTCAGTACGCCCCTGTCAGCTATTAGCACATTAATTACTCCTATCAGTTCTGACATAATGCACACACTGTAGCTTCTAGGCATCCTTTTAATGTGTACTTGAGCTAGTCCTGAGTTCTTTAAGCTGGCCTCTGGACTTTATAGTACTCCAGTAAATGTGCACCCATGCAAAGTAAATTCTCTTCCAGAGGGCTCCTAATTCCAGGGCCCTGTTTAAAGCAAATACTGACTTCATAGGAAGCTGGCAATTTATACTGCTATCTCCCACCTGCAATTTGCTTGCTAAAGGCAAAGTTTCCCCTCCCATTTAAAGGCCAATAGCAAGCAAAGTGAAGGAGAAGGAGGGTGGGCCAAAGTACGTATTTCTGTGTAGCCAGGATTACCATAGACCAGGGGCTGACTGGCAACTTTTAGCCCAGGGGGCAAGTACAACCCAGAGGCCCATGGTGCAGCAACTTGGCCCCCCTCCCGCTCTGCCTCTTCCCCTGCCTTCTCCCCGCCCCTGCCTGCCACTTTTGCCATCCTTGTAAAAGTAGTGTTAATGTATTTATCGGTTAAGGAAATGTAAAGCACACTGGTAGTGGAGGGATGCCTCGTCAGGGCTGTGCGCGTGTACGACTGCTGCGACCCTGGTAGTTCTGCCACTAACTCAGCAATACATTGTACAGCATTACAGAATGGCATCGGCTATAGAGAACTACAATTCCAAGCAATACATTATACAGCAATGCAGAATACCATCAGCTATAGAGGACTATAAATCCCAGCAATAATGACTACCAACAGCTATAGAGAACTACAATTCCCAGCAATACTATTATACAGCAATGCAGAACAGCATCAGCTACAGAGGACTACAATTCCCAGCAATACATTACACAGAGCAATGCAGAATTATATGAAGCTACATACTCTGTTGCTCTGGATTCTCCGCCTGATGTCTAAAGGGTCTCAGGATGGTTGTGCGGGCTCTCACCAGGGGTCCAGAGAGTTTCACGGGTGCGTGTGTGTGCAGCAGAGGTGGCTCCCTAATTAGGTTCCCAGGTGGCCAATGCGGATCGCCAGGTGACTTGATTACAGGGCCGCGTCTGCCTGATCCAGCCAGCCGGATCGCATACCGAGGTGATCCGCGCTGGCTGTACCAGGTAGACGCGGCATGTTAGAGGGCCTCCTGCTGGAGCCTCCCGAGCACCTCCTTGAGGAGCAGCGGCCGCACCATTCTTCACAGAGCCGCGTCGGATGTGGAGGGCGGGCGGCCGGGTGCAGGTGGCAGCGGCCGGGGGTCAAGGGGCCGTTTGCGGTGGCATCAGAGAGGCCCGGGGGGCAATTGCCACCCTGCCCCCTGGCCCAGTCCGCCCCTGCCATAGACAACCATTTAAGAAGACATCTAAACCCCTTCGACATCAATTTTATAAATATGTGTGAGAAGTGCTCTCCCTCTCTGCTGCTTATAGGGGTAATTGAAACCTATAGTGTTTTCATTGTGCACACTGCACTTGGTAAAGCATCTCAATAGCACCCTGCCTTGCACTTAGCAAAACTAAATGTAGATGAGTTTTTGGCAATCTCTTAAGTGGACTTCAATACTCTCCCTAATACAGAGTCTAAGGATCAGGAAGTTACTTTAGAAGAAAACTGACCATACATGTAGACATCTCAAGGTGTTACAAAGTCCAGATGAAAGTTGAAAGTACTCAATGCTGGTACAGGTATGCTTTTAGCTGGCCTTAAACAATAAGATTTTGATTGGCCTACTCATCCGATATTACTAACAACCAATTTAATATGAGAGTCATAATACAGGAGTTAAAGAAGAGTGCACCTGTTACAACATTTTAGCAACCAGCCAACAAAAAAAAACCTTTCGCTATATGGTCAACATTAGAGAAAAAGTAACACTGGTGTGGCTCGATACCGAATGTCAGAAGACTCAGCTGGTGAAGGCATTTGGGGTAAAGCATGTGACTTCCTAATCTTAAAATCAGTCAAGTACAGTACAATTTTGTTAACCAAAAATAGTACAGGTAGCATAATCTATAGAGCCAGCTGGAAATTAGACTTGCAGCAATATAACAGGGCAAAACACTTCTGAGATTAAATAAATCTAAATAAGTGACAAATCAAGGTCGAATGCACTTTGTTTCTGATGTCTTCAAGAGACGTATTATACGTTCATTTTTTGTGAGGTCTGCTGGTAATTCATTGGCCTGAAATAATAATAATTAAAAAAAACACGAGTTAAAGTATATGTAAACCCGAATTCTAAAATTGTGTTAATAAGCTCCATTTTTGCCTAATAAATATAGTTGTGTTAAGTTTTTTTTTAAATATATATTGGCATCTGTAAGTGTTTAATAAATACCTGTGATCCAGACAGTTTCTGCTCTCCTTCCTTGACATTGCTAACCCACCAGCTCCCATTGCTGCAGGAGCTTTGTCATCATTCTGGCAGCCATGCTTTCTTACAGGGTTCTGCAGTATAAAACCCTGCTGGTTGATTGACAGCTGCTTTATCCATTAAGCATTCAAGTCAAAAGTGTATTTCCACATTTGCAGTCAAATTTGGGAAAACTCCACTATATGACTTCCTATTCACACAGCATAGCAAAACATATATTTTTAGAAATATTTATTACCTTTTACATGTGTCTGTTGAGCAGGCCTTTGGACAGACTGCATCTTTCTCTGTACATTTTCAAAGTCACAAAAAAATATGGCTGTCCCCATAGAAAGACTAGGGACACTCTTAACAGGGTTATTGACAAGAGGGTGAAGACCTTGGAGAAGGCAGGAGAAGTGAACAATCTTGGACAACATGGAGAATTTTTCCAAATCAGCTTTGTTGTCCTAGATCAGGGGTGCCTATGAGGCAGATCGTGATCTACCAGTAGCTCTCAAAGCTGATGCTGGTAGATCACAAAGGGTGTGAATGGTGGCCCCTTTATTCCATTTTGGTATATTTATTTAGCTGTGCACACATGATTACCTATTAGCCTGAGTCTGCTGAGCCCAGCTCCCTGACACCTTTCTGGTTGAAGTGCTATGTATTACATCAAAGAATATTAGTTTACACAGCCTGTTGCAAAATACAGAAAGGTGAGCCAGGAGAGAGAGCGAGGAAAAACAGTCAGGAGGATGAGCAAGGAGAGACAGCCAGGAGAAAGAGCAAGGAGAGACAGCCAGGAGAAAGAGCAAGGAGAGACAGCCAGGAGAAAGAGCAAGGAGAGACATCCAGGAGAGAGAGCAAGGAGAGACATCCAGGTGAGAGAGCAAGGAGAGACATCCAGGAGAAAGAGCAAGGAGAGACAGCCAGGAGAAAGAGCAAGGAGAGACAGCCAGAAGAGCGAGGAGAGAGCGAGCCAGGAGAAAGAGCAAGGAGAGACAGCCAGGAGAAATAGCAAGGAGAGACAGCGAGGAGAAAGAGCAAGGAGAGACAGCCAGGAGAGCGAGGAGAGAGAGAGCAAGGGAGTTTTTTTTTTCGTTGGTAGATCTCATGTAGCTCGTCGTTTGAAAAGTAGATCTTAACACAAAAATTGTGGGCACCCCTGTCCTAGATTGTTCACTTCTCCTGACTTCTCCAAACTCTTCACCCTTTAGTGAATAACCCTGTAAGTTTCCACAATTAACATACAATATTTCTAAGTCTTTAACCCTTTGTTAGAACAGACAATGTTCAAATCTAGGTTACAACTGATAATGATATCTGCCGCCACAGTACAGACAAGGTAATTTATGGTAACCTCCTCTACCCCTTGCATTTCAGAGGAAAATTTAGTTTAGAGAAACCTAGTCATATGAGAAAACAGGGACATTTTTAAGTTATGCTATGCGAATAGGAAAATGTACAAATATAACATAGGTGTTATCACAATTTGGCTGCAAAAGTGGAAATACACTTTAAGCTAGCCATACATGTTAGATTTCTCTTGTTCAGCCCACTGACAGACTGAATTACAGAACAATGAGTGCATCTGGTTAGATGCTGTCACTTTTCAGCCGGCAATTTTCCAGCCAGCTCAGTCAATTTTGAAACTGAAGTTTGTTGTGCCGGGTGGTGCAGACAAGACCACCTACTGCTCGACTTTGGCCAGTTTAGCAGGAATGGGCTGAAATTTGAGCTGTGTATGGCTGGCCTTACTGATGTCACTGGAACATTTAAACAGCTTCTCCCATCCCACAGCCCTGGTCTCCAGAAACTGAATTACTGATAATAGCAAGTGGAAAAGGTATATCATTGCTTTTTTTCAATTATAAAACCTACAGAGTATTAATTTTGTATGCCTGCACTATAGCCTACATTATGGGGAAATGCACAGTTCACATATACTTTAAAAGTATATCTAAAGGCAACCCTTTTTTGGGGGGGATAGACTAGGGGAGGTTAAAAAACACTGTGCATCTTTTTTGCATCTCGATACAGATATTTCCCTTCGCTTCCTGTCCTGTAGACTCACCAGGAAGTGAGAGGATATCATACCAATTTAAGCAAAGTCCCCTGTTAAACAGCTGCATGCGAACAAGTGTCCCCATTTGAAGATTTCCCCTCTATGCCTGTTCTGGTGGCAACTCAAAATTTTGGATTTACTCTCAATGTCATTATTAATCAGGACAATTAGAGAGAGCAAATCTCCCTAATGGTGACACCGACAGCAATAAAAACCTTAAAGTTAATCTAAACCCTTACCACTCTAAATCTAAAAAGAAGTTTTGCCTTTAGTTATCCTTTAAATATTACTTTTAAAGATAATCTATCTAGAGATGTGTGTTTCCGAAAGATAGTGTTGATTCTACAATAATCAGACCACATCTAATTTATTTTATCATAACATGGGAGGCTACAATATACTATGTGCAATGTGTCAACTTACCTTATTTCTAATTGCAGGACTGGCTCCTGCTTCTAGGAGAAGGGCCACTGACTTGATGTTCCCACCGAGTACTGCAGCATGAAGAGCTGTGGACCCATTCTAATTAAAGACAAAGTAGAGTGTATTTATTACCAAAGCTGTGTGTGTATACCACAATGCCAAGAAAGGAAGTTATTCAGAAGATATAGAAAGTATATTAGGCCAGTATCAGCCACTACAAATAACACATACAGTCACTGCAGTCAGTAAACAAATTAATACAGAGCAGCACATGCCATAAGCTGGCAGTTGGGCAGAGAGACAGTTTCCTGATACTAACATTGCAGCAAATGACAGAAGCAGCGGAGGAAATACTCACACAGGGTCAGATGCTGGATAGTGCACACAACAGCAGCAGCAGGCAGTGTGAAGGAGTGGTTGCAGGCATCAGTCAAACAGAGGTCATTATACACCACGGAGAGGCAATTAGAGAGATGTGCAGGTCGAGGTCATAACCGGTCAGGTAAGCAGCACCAAGTTGGTACAAATAGAGCAGGATTGGAAGCAGGCCACATCATACACAGAGAAGTAATAATCCAAGTCAGGAGGCAGAGAGTGATCAAGCAATCCGAGGTTGGTACACAAGCAGGTAAAAGGAAGCTGAAGTCAGAAAGCTAGGTAAGAACCAAAACAACTAAAAAAACCTTCCTAACTCCATAGTGAGCAAGGAAGTAGGGTGAAGGCACCTTTAAAAAGTTGGAGAAAGCCAGTGGGCCAATCAGATGAGCCCCTCTGTGAGTTTACCTGTTAGAGGTCTTGCCTAGAAGCAAGGAAGCTTATTTGAAATAGGGTTGTCTGTGCAGATGTTTGAAGCAGGTGTTTTTCCTGATATTACCCCATACACAAACACAAGATTGGGTTTGCTGGGGTGATGTCTTTGGTATTTCTTTGCATTTTGGATGGTAATTTGAGTTATAATGCCACCAGATTAATCTTCATGAGAATTTCATATGGGCTGATAACTTTGGGTCTGAGCTTCTTAATTGGGACCTACATGAAGAGGTTTTTAGTGGATAATCAGGCCCTGCCCACGACTTGGAAGTCTGGATCTTTAGACTGCCTCTTGTTGGTTTGGGACTTTTGGGAATGTATTGCCTGATCAAGGATGTAGTGGACAGTGGTCCATAGGTCTATAGAAACTGTAGTCATGTGGAATTGGCATTAGGAACATTAGAAGGAGGGAGATGAAACAAGCACTTGCAGGGATGGACAACATATACACATAAGAATGGAAAGCACTCAGTAGAAGCATTAGGGCAGTTGTTAAATGCAAATATCACCCATGGTAGTAGATCACGCCAATCAGCCTGATTATCAGCTGACAGTGAAGAATTTTTGCCATAGTCTGATTAGTCCTTTCCATCCACCCTGCTGGTCTCTGGGTGATAGGCCCAGTAGAAGGATAGCTGTAGGCATAGTTGGTTACAGAGAGTTCTCCCAAATAGCGCCACAAACTGCATGCCATGGATCGAGACTACATTGATGGGTATTCATCTGAGCCTGAATATGTGCTTGAGCACAGACAGGTCCTTACAGGCAAGACAAATAAAATAGGTAATTTTGCTGAATCTATCCATGGTTGGAAACCCCTGGGACTTGGGTAGATGTACAATAAATTCCATAGCAACATGGATCTATGGGCTGGATATAGGTAATGAGCAAACAAAGCTGGCAGGTTTAGATTATTTAGTCTTACTATGAGCACAGGTCTCATAAGTATCAACAAAGTGTTATGTGTCAGAATGAAGAGATGGCCACCATAGATCCCGGAAAGCAATCTCAAGTATCTGCTTGAATCCTGGGGTGTCCAGCATGCTTGGAATTGCAGAGCCGCTATAGCACTTGAAGACGTAATGGAAGGGGAACAAACAAAAGTCCAGGGGGAAAGGTGGGTTGGACAGGTAATAATAGTTCAGAGAGTTCAGTGGAAACGGAAGTGATGAAATGTTGCTTGGAAATAATGGGATGAATCTGACAGGGGGCAGGAGATTCAGAGTTAAAACTGCCAGAAAGGGCATCAGAAAATGTTTAAAGCAGGTGGAAGGTGTGTTTTTCCAGACAGAAAGTAACTGATTTAGATCATCATTTTACTAGATAGGAACTCAGTCATACACATGTAGCAGTTCATAAAGATAGGCTGTTGTCAAAATTAGGTAATATTCAACCTAATTTGCTGATGAATTGTCCAAGTATTTGGTGGAGCCAACTCCTGCAGCCAAATGCTATTCACATCTAACCAAGTTTATAGTCAACATACAGACAGTTCTGCTGTGCAAGGTATCTTGGCTTGATTCTTAATATCCTCAGCCTTCTCAGTTTGGTCACTCATTGAAAACCTGTTAGTCATTTTAAACTTGTATTACCTTTTAGCCAGCCCCCTTCCACCTGTGCCTACCTCAGAAAAGAAACTACCAACAGTTATCAACTTTGAAAGTAATAGTCCTGCCTAAGTACAGTCACTACAAAGTAATAGAAGGCACCTTGTGCAAAGAGCTACTAAATAGATTGTGGCAAATTCACTGATTGTCAGGGCTGTCTTTAACGCAGGGCAAAAGGGGCAGCTGCCCAGGGCCCAATCATTGTTGTTGGGCCCAAAGCAGGTCCTGTGCTGCAAAACTCCTACCACTGGCCTTGCCTTTCAGCACTGACAGCAGAAATATGCACCTACACCTGTGTACACAATAATTCTTGCACCGGCCCTGCCCTTGAGCACGCAAAAGATATTAGGGTTGGTTAGGGGGTCGGGGTGGATTGGAGTGTGGGGCCCAAGAAAATGTTTGCCCAGGGTCCAATCCTTATTAAAGACGGCCCTACTGATTGTGGTATATATTAACAATGTGACAATGCTTTGTTCAAAGTGTGGCGCCATTACAGAAAGACTGTGTTACAAAAACTAAAGTAAAGATGCTTATAGACCTCAGACTGTAGCCCGCCATGCATGCATGATCCAGTCGCTGAACAATCTTTCTTTCTGTGAATCTGTCTAAGGAGAAGGGAGCAGGCAGCACTGGGGCACCATCTGTCTCTGCTAGGAAAACAATATGACCGAATAGGAAAATTCAACCTGGCTGACCACTCCATCCTCCAAGAATACTTGGCCCAGTAATGATTGCAATGGTCAAGATGGTCATACAAACATGAAATCTTTGATGATCTCACCATTAAAGCACCTTTAGGAAAAGAGGACCAAAAGCAGAGCTTTTGCTTAAAACAACAGATTCAATTTATTTAGGAACATTAAAGCTGAAACCTGATAACTTAAAAATAGAGCAATGGCTTCCCTTCCGTGTGCTTCGGTTTTTTAACATGAACTCCACAAAGTGAGTCTGTGATCATAATAGTGTAAACTACTCCATAAGAAATCATTATCGGTTGCAAAAAGAATTGCAATAAATAAATAGCATGGATTGCAAGGGTTTGGAGCTGACAGACAGAATGTGTCTTACCTTCAGAACACCAAGTATGGGAGAAAACTTCAGCAATTCTTCTATAACATCACTGAAACCCTTAGCGGCAGCTTTAAACAAAGCAGAGGTGCCATCCTTGAAACAATGTTGTGAAACATTAGAGTTATTTTGATGTATGATATACTCTATCATGAGTAACACTGTGCTAACATGCTGACCACAATACATTTTCCAGGAAGCAACCCTTGACAGTATATTGGCAGATAAGATAATCATAAGTGTAAAAACAGTTTAATAAATGTGCCATCAGTTATTGGCAGATAAAATAATTGTAAGTGTAAAAACAGTTTAAAAACATTTTAATGAATGTGCCATCAGTTTATCACAATTTGTAAAATGGTCTGACATTCTTCAAACTTCAGCAATGATTTATGTTGTTGCAAATGTTTTTTAACCATTTGAAGACCAGGGTGTTAAAACCAGGGACATGCGGTCAGGTATGTCTAGTATTATGGAGGAAAAAGCTGTCAGCTTCAAGTCTGAAGCTGACAACTTTTTCTTCATTCAGACAGCTTCTAACAGGTTACACAGCAGGGAAAGCCTCACCAGTGACAAGCAAGTGAGGGTCTCCTTCTTTCTCCCTGCCTCCTCCACACATAGCTCATTAAAATTACATGCGCCTGTGAAAATGCAAAAAAACTACCATACCCATGCTCATACCCATGCCCATAGGCGACCCTTTAAAGGCTCATTTAACTTAAACTGCTCATTTAATTTAGTGTTAAGAATGATTGATGGCCTTTGAATTATTGTTCGCACTCTGATGCTCGCAATGATATGTAACATGTGTGGCGCAATCGTCGTTTTCACACATAGGTGCACCTGAAGTGTGTTTGCGTTTGTATGTGCGTGTACAGGGGGAGGCGGGAACAAACAGTTTTTACACTTAACTTTATTGCTATCACATAGAGGGCTAACAAATCTTCTATGTGATAGCACAGATACATTGCCAGGCCCTATTTATGGAGACATCAGAGGTCTATTAGACCCATAAAGTCACTTATGGACCACCAAAGAAGCAGATGAAGCAGAGATCTGCTTCATCAGCTTCTTATCCAGCTACAGCAGCCAGTGAAATAACACACTGAAAGTGGTGTAATTAACATCAGTTCTGCTTTCAGTGATCAAAGGGGAACAGCCGATGGATTTGTGCTGATCTCCCTCTGATCAAAGTACACAGAGCCACTGTGCCGGTCCCAGGCCCGTACGGGGGAGAGCAGAGCAGGGGGCACACTCTCCCACAGACCGTACAAGCGATCGGGCGGCTCTATAGCCGCCTGAATGCTTCCATGTAACAGCCATTGCTGGCTGTAAAAAATATTTACCATGTCCTACTTGTGCACGAGTGAGCAGGAAAAAAAAGGTGTTTATTTACATTGACCCACATTCAAGAGTGAGCTGTCTGTCCATTTATATACAATGGGTGAATGGCAAGCGGTTAAAAAGCTGTTTACAGAGCAACATTTAGGTTTATGAAGAGCCACTTATTAGATTACTTTTTTAATTCATTTTGTATTGCAGTTTGGCTTAAAGAACTCCAACCAAGGTTTTTCCCTGCTGTCTGTTTCCCATTATTTCCTCTAGCAGTGATATAACAAGAATAAAAAAAAAAACTTCTAAACAAGGATGCAGACATCAACAAAAAACTGACCCACTTTACTAATAAAGTAATTTTATTGGCATTAGTTCTCTTTTGGGTCACAGGAGGACAGTCTGTGACCCAAAACTCAGCATATAGCAGCCATATAGAGGCAGAGCCAGCTGTGACCACCCCCTCTCCCATCCGTCCCTCCAGTCAGCAATCCATGCAGGGAGACAGTCACCACTTTCTGTAGTGAAAAGATCGTGAACTGAGCATGAATCGAGCCGACATGTGATAGCTGCAGTGTCACACGTCGGCTCTAACTAGGGGTGAGTGCATTTCACATTTTTTAAATACATTTTCATATTTCTGAGCATAGTGATAAACTGATGTACTAACAAAAGAAATATAATATTACTTACAATACGTGAAACATCTCGGTCAGCTCCTCTTAGAAGAAGCACCCTGACCACGTCACTGAACCCCAGCTGTGCTGCTATCCAGAGAGCAGTGGTTCCATCCTGGCACAGAAAGAATTACTAAAGCCACACCATGAAAGACAACAGATTTACATGTAACCGTTTTTGTTGGACTTTGTAACCATACATCTTAGTTCATTCTAAATTTTGAATAAATGCAGAACTATGCAAACAACTTACGCAGTTGTGAGAAAATGCTGTAATGTGCTATGCTTTAAAAAATAGCACAATTAATCATTTTTATTGAACATTGAACAGTCTACAAAGTACAGTCAGATACTTATCCATAATGCAACACCATTAGAGAGGCGTCTGAACAGTCCAAAATGTATTTGGCAAAAGGACAATGACCCCAAACATACAGCCCAAGAATTATCTTTAGCGAAAAGAAGAAAAAGGAGTGTTGGAAGAGATGATATGGCCACCATGGAGTCCTGATCTCATCATGTGTGATTCTGTCAGGGCTTACATGAAGAGACAGAAGCAACTGAGACAGCCTAAATCCACAGAAGAACTGCGGTTAGTTCTCCTATTTGGAACGACCTACCTGCTGAGTTTCTTATAAAACACGAAAAGACGAATTTCTGACCACATTTGCGACATTAGGTCACATCATTTATTGTCACCAGTAGCCAGACAGTTTATTCTTGAACATAGTGGCTCATTTAACACCTTAAAATTTAGTATGCTCGAAAGAGTACATAGGAACAACAGAGGAGGGGATTGGAATAAAATAATCTTACAACGTGAGTGGCCAGGAAGCTGGCTCGATGCTGATTGGCTGGGAAACCCACTTCCTTGCCAATCAACATTGAGCCGGCTAAACAGCATGGAGCAGGATTCCCCGGAATTAAGAAGCCGGGCGGCAGGTAATGACACGCCGCATGGCTTCTTGATTGCCCGGGAAACCAGCACCATGCTAGCGGAAGTACAGGTATTAGTACTCAGTATTGGCGATTACCGAAATATAATATCGGTATCGGTGCATCCCTAACATATATACATGATGTGATATGCATTCTATGTTTCTTCATTTATTTGTATGCCTATTTTGCAGCCCTGAAGTAGGGAGGGGACTTTTTTGGGGCCCCCAAAACACATTGGCTTTTTTTTGTGTTAACCTGTTGTGAAGTAGTACTGATAAGAAAGAAATTTGGACTTTTGAACATTTTGTTTGGCGCTTTCATTGGACTTTGTGCATGTGGATCCACAAACAGACACAGCAAGGCAATTCACTCCCCTCCCCACTCCTCCCTTCTCCAAGCTAGTAGATGGACAGCTGCTGTAGACTGTGCTGTCCCTTGTGATCTTGTACTGTACAGGAAGTTCAGGGAAGCCGAGTTGAGAGAGTTGGAGCCAGCTGTTCGGTCACATGATGACTGTAAATGCTTGGATGAAAATGTAAAGAAATACTTTTGCTGTGCCATGTATATTTGTTTAATCTGGATTCATTATTGAAAAAAAGTTTAAGAGTTTAATACTACTTTAAGTGCCCAAGATGCCTGCCTTAGCCCAGCGCTGGTTGCAACAACCCTTCCCATTGAACTGTTCTATGCCCTTTGATTTAAAATTGCAATAGCCAATAGCACGCTGGCTATTGTACCAGCCCACTGAGCAGAGGAGCGGACCTGAGAGAGAACTTTCTCAGGTCCGCTCCTCTGCTCAGTGGGTGGGTTTAAATGGGTGGTTTCTTGAGAGTTACTAATAATTCTCAAGAAACCAGAAACTACAGTTATCTGGCACCTACCGATCCGTGTTGGTGCCGGATAACTGGTAGTTTACTGTACTATAAAAAGTGATCTGTGTCTGCAAAGTTGCATGGGAGAGCTGGGTCAACTAAAGGCCATTGACACAGTAAAGTGTAAAAATAAAGATACCTTCTTCCACACACTGTACACTAATGAAGCACTACTGCATTACATAACACTGTCAGTTTGACTTGATCTTATGCCCTGGAACAGGAGGGGTAGTTGTATAGGCATTTTACAGGGGGAGGACTTAAATAGTATATTTCATGGGGAGTTTAGTGACACTGACAATTGCAATGGTGAATAGCGGTGTTATCTTCTGAGCTATTCATTGTGGCAGATGTGTGTGTATTACACAAAAGACTGAACAGAATTGCAAATATATTTGGAGATGAAATATTAAATATACACACTATATAAAGGTGTCTTAGATGTGTAAATTATTTGAAATCACCCTTCAATGTTGATGTGATAAATTTTGATTCCACTAGATGGCATGATGCACTTTGAAATATTTTCATCCTCAAAGATTGTTAGTCTATGCTTATCTATCATGTGTCCTGAATTTAGTGTTAAATATGGTTATCTATCATGTGTCCTGAATTTGGTGTTGTTACCCAATCGCACACTAAACATCCTCTTTTTTTTCTGCACAGGACATGCAAGTTTCATGTGGACTTCTCTATGATCGTGATTTATTGCCATACTCAGAACCACTTGTAACCAAATATGTTTGCTTTGCTGTAACCAGAATAACAATCCCACCTCCTCTGCCACACAATATAATATTGGAAAAATTGCATAGAGCCCAAAAAATACTTGGTCAAGGACATCATCCAGCAGATCCCTGGGGGATCTGTCATTTCCGGATCTGCCATTTGTCATATTTGTTTTTCTAATACAAGTTTTTTTTAAGGGTGTGGGTGTGTTTATGCTATTTAAATTTTTGTGTGAATGAGTAACAAGGGGTACTATGTACCCCTTGCTCATTCACCTGGGAGGGTGAATATCTGTGGGCCCCTTAATCTAAACAGGGCTTCTAGATTCTGATAAGTCCCCTGAAGACCTTGACATCCCTCTTGGGGATCAGGATGTGGGGACAAGGTTCCTGCTCCCCCCTTACAAGGTATCCTCCCACTGTGGAGGGCATGTGGTCTAGTAT